GTGCCCGCCTGGAGAAGACCCATCCCTGGAGGAATGGAGTGTCTTTCGTGTGGGCATGTCTCCAAAGATGAAGCCCCCAAGTTCTGCAGCCAGTGTGGACAGAGGCTGCTTCCGGCAGCCCCCGTAGCCGGTAAGGGCTGAATGGGGCTCTCTCTCTCCCTCATTCTCTCTCTCAAATAAATAAATAAAATCTTTAAAAAAAAAAAAAAAAAGACCAGAGAATGTAAAGGGTCTTCTCTGTGAGTACTCACAACGGGCTCATAACACCTGGCTTTTCCATCTTTTCTTTGTTTTGTCTTTATTTGGTGTACTCCGTGAGTTTTGACTTGGTTCTTTGGGTCGCTAACCATCTTTATGGTGCAGGTGTCCTGACGACAGGACCACTTATGCCAGGTTCTCAGCGCCTAGAGGAGGAAGGGTTCGGAACCTCTGCTTTCCTTGGAACACTTGGTGGCTTGTTTCTGTGCCTGTCAGAACAGGATGTCCACGCCTACCATGCCACTCACCTAAGACTTCTCAGAAAGTAGGGAGTTGGAGCCTGGCTCTAGGCGGGCTTCTTCTTCTGGAGGTTGGTGTCACTCAAAGTCACCCCTGCAAATGCAGGTGACAACCCAGCTCTGAGGTAGCCTGGCTAGATGGGCTCTTAGCGGCTGAGGGAAGAGGAGGTGACCTGATACTCCAGCTGAAGCCTCATTGATCTTGAGCCACAAGTTAAGTTGGGGGTGCAGAGACAGGTAAGGCAAGACAGCAATCCCCGTCTCTCAAAGGTGAGATTTTAAACATCCTTTTACAGTTTGCTTTCTGCTAAGGAGTGGTCAAGAACATATAGAAGGGAACAGGAACGATTCCCTGGGGACATTAAAATGGCCTTAAAATCCAAAGGGTGTCTCCCTTGGTGGGGTGTCTCTCCTGGAAGCATCCTCATTCCTAAGGCTGTGTTGGGTTTTACGACAAACAGGCTACACCACGCAGGTTAGGGTGTTTTCTCAGCCACCTGACTCGTCCAGGATGTGGCTTCCTGACCCTGCCGGGCTGCAGAGTGCCGACCGCAGTGCCCGCTCTGCCGGCCCTTCAACCACTCCGTTACCTGGGGCGGGCTAAGGGTTCTGGAGCCCACGAGCCACGCCTGCCTGTGGGAGCACACGCAGGAGGGGCCCCCTGGCCAGCAGGGCTAGCTTGTCACTGGCCTGGAAGGGCGTCTGGGTTTTGCTCTGCTGGCATCTCCCCAAATCTAACGGTGGCACGGGACAATGTAGGGTAGGGCTGGGCCCTCCCTTCCCTTGCCATTCCCAGAGGATCCCCAGACTCCCAGAGCCTTCCCTGGATCCTGACTAAGCCCCCTCTCCTGCTAGGACCCAGCAGGGAGAGCCCAGTCCAGTCTGCCCAGCCTGGCACCCTGCCTGGAGCCCCCTTCTTTCAGAACAAGCTCTCTTTCCTGGGCCCCACATAAGGTCAGTACAAGGTCAAAGGCCACAGCAGTGGACACGGCTTAGATCCTGCCCAGATCCCGATGAACTAGACAGTGGGGGTGGCTGGTCGTGAGTTGGGGTTTGTGGCTTTGAGTAAATACGCGATCAATCATGGCAACCTGTGCTGAGCACCCCCTAAGCACCGCCTGAACTCTGTGATGCTGGGTTTGAATGAAGAAGCCAGATTTGCAAGGGGTGGGCACTGCGGGAGGGGGCCCCAAGAAGAACTGAGCTTGCTGTTCATAGGCCAGAGGAAGGGCAGTGTGGCTGGAGCTTGTGGAAGGGAGAGAGTTGGAGAAGGGCAGGACAGGAACCCCAGCCTTTTAAATTTGATCATAATCATCCAAACTGGACTTTGTAGCAGCACAGGGGCCCACAAGTGCTCTCAGGCTGCGCTGGTTCTGGGCTAGAGGGCTGTGAGGAAAGTAGGGAGTAATACACATCACGCACTTTGCTTGGGTCCTGGAACACCAGCATTGGCTGTGTTGTTGTTGTTATTAGTGATAAATTCTCCAACAGCCCTAGGACGCTGCACTATGAGCTCACAGATGAGGACACTGAGGGATGGAGGGGTAGGGGGTGCAAACGCAGGCTGGGGTGGCCTCTTAGTTATCAGTGACCATCCCAGGGCCGGGCGCGGGCTGGAAACCCTCTACGACTATCGGCCACTGTGGTCACTTCATCTGCACAAGGTCCCGATGCGACGGGGCTGGTGACCTCCTCTTTGCTCCGGAGTGACCCACCTCGCGTCCTCTGTGGCCCTCCCTGGCCGGCCGCTGGCTCTCCAGGGCGGGGGGCACTGTCCAGGGTGCTGGGCTCCAAGGCTGGGGGCTGCTGGGGGAGACGGGGGTGCGGACCCTGCTGGGCCGGAATCCGGGCTCCCTTGCACCCCGCCCCGAGGGAAGCGGCAGGCGGCACCTCCCCCTTGGCCTGGCGCCGGGTCCACTGGGGGGCGCCATGGGGGGCATTCTGGCCGCACCCGCCCGAGCTCCTCCACGCCCCGCAGGGGCGGAACACGGACCAGAGAAACGAAACCGGGCGGCGGCGGAGGCTTGCGCGCCGGGGCGCCGCAGGTGCGAGCGGGAGCGGGGCCACGGGGATGCGGGGGCCGCGGGGCCGCTGGGGGCGCGCGGGGTCTCGCCGGGCCTAGCCGGGCAGAGGGCGCGGGGCGGGGCGGGGCGGGCCGCCGGGTCCTCAGGTCTGGGTCGTGGCGCCTCCGTGCCGCGGGCCGTGCCCTCCCGGCTGCCTCTTCCTGCGGCGCCCGGTTTCGGTTTCGCCTCGGGCTCCGGGACCCGCCCCGCCCCGCCCCGCGCCGCCCCGCCCCGCCCCGCGCCGTGCGGACCCCACCCCCGGGCCGCGGGCAGCCGGTGGGCCCGAGGAGCCCCCGGGCGCCGCGCTTCCCCCGGGAGCGGAATCCTTTGCTCTCTCGAGTTGCCACACCGGAGCAGCGCTGTGGCCCGGGGATGCCCCTATGTGTATGCACGGTAACTTTCTGGAGAACAGCATCGCCGCCCCCGTAACCGCGCCGCCCGGAGCGCAGCGTCCTCCCCAGTTTCCAGGGCTGCCCACGGCCACGGTCACCAGGCCAGGGTGGGCACCTCTGCCGCGACAGCCTTAAGGGCCACGAGGTGGTCGCGGGGAGGCCAGAGAAGGAGCGAGTGCAGAGATGGGGGCGGGCCAGCCGCCCCTGACCGGCCCCCGCTCCCTGTCCCCCAGTCCCCACCCCCGCTAGTAGGCTTGGTTTGGTGGCGGGTGGGAGGATGGGCTTTGAGTTTGGCACAGTTCTGAAATTGGGAATAGTCCGGAGGCTGACTGGATAGAGTATTGTGTGGGTTCTCATTTATGCCCTTAGGCCCCTGGTGGGGGCGAGAAACAATAGGACACTTCATGGAGGATTTCTGAGCCCTCTTGTGACTTTTTTGGTGTGTGGGGAAGCAGAGCCTTGCGGAGGAGGACAATTTAGGGGTAGAGGCCCGGGCCTGGGGAGTCACTGAAAGTCTCAGAGCGAAAGCCCAGACCAGGATGGTGGTCACTTCCCTGGTCATGTGGCGGTGAGGGGCGAGGTGGGGGCCGGGGCTTGGCGGTGTCCGGTTGAGCCGGGCAACCTGGCACACACCAGTCTAGCTCTGCCCTGCCCCCGAGAGCTCACTATCTAGTGGACCGTGAGCCAAATCAGGGGGAGGCAGGGGCGGGCAGTGGGCTGGAAGCAGGCGGGACGCAGCCTGTTAGCCTGTTAGAGGAGTCCTGACCGCTAGCCCTGTTAGCTCTGGGCTGCCGGCGCAGGCTGGTCCCTCGGGTCGGCTCCGGCATCTCTGCAGTGCTGTCTGCCTCACCTAATCCCCATGTCACCTGTGAGCAGGTGCTTCTGTCTCTGTGCCCCTTGTCCAGTGCACTCTTACACCATGTCTTATCTCAGGGTTTGGCCCGGGCTGTGTCTCTGCCGGGAACAATCCGCCTTCCGCCCACACCTAGTTCTCAGTGGTCCCAGCCCCCAGTCTCAGCCAAGGGGGACAGTTTTAGACTCACTGAGTGACGGAGAGCCAGGAGGGGTGAGCCTGGCTGGGGGAGCAGAAAGGGAGTAGGGTGATGGAGTCCCTGGTGGGGGAGGGGGAGGGGGAGATGCCCCCGGGTCAGGAGCAGAGGGGGGGCCGTTACTTGGTGGGAGGGCCAGGGCTATGAGTGCTGCAGGTGGGGAAGTGCTAGCGCTAGGTTTCGATTGAGCCGGAGGACCTTCTGGGCGCTGTAATTTCACTTTCCCAGAAAATGAAACTGAAGCAGGGCTGTGGTCACATGACAGGTGGCTCAGTATATAGTCAGCTGCCTGGGGTCCCTTCCTTTTTCTGCAGATCTGCAGGAGCGTGCCCGCCTGGAGAAGACCCATCCCTGGAGGAATGGAGTGTCTTTCGTGTGGGCATGTCTCCAAAGATGAAGCCCCCAAGTTCTGCAGCCAGTGTGGACAGAGGCTGCTTCTGGCAGCCCCCGTAGCCGGTAAGGGCTGAATGGGGGCGGGGGGGTAGGCAGCAGCCCAGTCCCACTTCCCTTCGCTGAAATGGAAACTGTGGCCAACAGGCAGCTCAGTCGGGTAGGAGGAGGTCTTCTATGGCTGGAGGAACTCTTACTAGAAGCGCTTTTGTTAGAAAAACAGTTTCATCTGGTCCTTTGTTGGAAGCTTTTGTTGCTTTTTAAAAATTTTCAATTTCATTTCTTGGAGAGAACTTGAGGGTTCTCCTCCTTCTCGGGACTGGGAAGTGTCAGGCTGAGCTGAGGGATCTTAGTGGATTTCAGAGGATGCTGTGTGGAAGTGGTGTCCCAGGTGCTGTGATGGGGTGCGGGGTTCTCACAGCCTGGACGGGACCCTTCCCGGTGGCAGGTCAGTGCCTGAAAGGGGAACTATGTGAGGTGGCCCTCACCAGCCGGCTCAGGTCAGTCCTTAACTCTCTTGGTGTCCAGGACCACAGGCTGCCTTCCTTCCTTTCCTAGGTGTTCTTGGACCACAGGACCTTTGCACTGCCTGTTCCCTCAGCTTGGAATATACCTTTCCTCTGAGGGCAGCACCATTACCCCCTCACCTGTCTTTGCTCCTCCACCTTCTCCCCTGGAGGTTCACTCTGACTACCCCATTGAGAACTACACCTGCCTGTCCCCCACCACCCCCCGCACT